TATATTCATAAGATATAGATAAGAAATAAACTTATCCAGGTAAAGATAAAGATAACTAACTTAAGGTAAAGGTATGAGATAAACCAATTAAGGTAAAGATAAATATACACTCAAGGTAAAGATACGAGATAAACTCAGTCAAGGTACGAGATAAACTCACGGTAAAGGTACGAGATAAACTCCATTACAGTTATGAGATAAACTCCATAAAGGTAAAGATAAACTCAATTAAGATACAGATAAGGATAACTCACATCTACCAATCCGTATGAATAGTAGAGAGACAGGTAAACAAACAGTATACAATAAGATATGTTAAAACTCAAATACTTTGAGAAGGTAATAACATAGGAGATAACAAACCAAGTTAAACAGACTTACTGCTGAATATCAGAACGATCCAATTCTAAATGACACATTCTAATTTCAACCTAAGAGACACTCAAGGAACAACTAATATTTATTGACATATTTCTGAGCCAAGTGAGGGCACACATCCAGGGTGATCAATCCTGAACCCACGCTAAAACACCGACACAGTTAGTAAATATGAATGCATAAGCTTTATGGTCATGATCCACAAAACTATACAACACTCATAATGAAAATATTTGGAATGTTTTCCTAATTATCCCTGTAAATCTCTATTCAACTCAGAACTCAAGATGGGGAAATTCCATATATCCATCCTGTACTCCTATGATATGCAGTTGGACTTTGAAGAGAAAACAAACAACAAAATTAACAAGTCCATAAACTAAGATAATAACCAACATTAAGATAAGATAAAAAAAATAGAAGGCAAAATAAACAAACATCTTATGGTTTTTGCCAGGTAAACAAAATAGATAATCAGATCTTAAACAACCAAACTAGTACAGAAGTGATAAGGGACCAATGAAATCTAAAGATATCAGTTGAAATGGAAAATCAATCCGTCGATAACTACCCATTAAACCTGGTTGGGGAAGATTTGTCGGTTTGCATGTAGCACAGATTTGCATTAAGCGATATAGCTACGTACAGTTTGACGCATCTTCGGCCAGTAATAAAGTTCAGATATTCGACGGAAAGTTTTGTAGAAACCAAAATGAGCTGCAGTAGGATGGTCATGAAAAGTGGCCAAAACCTCTGCTCTATTAGGAGTTGGAACAACTATCTTCCAATCCGACATTCCAGTAAGGGAATCCATGGAACTTAAGACATGTTTATACAAAACACCATGTTCAACTTTAAAATCAGGAAATTTACCTGGTACATTCGGTACATTATACCACATCTTTCAACAATGGACTGGTTAGATGACGGACTCTCAACTCATACTCTAATTCAGGAGCTAACAGATGCTCTACCTTGAACGCAGATATATTACACAACTGAGAAATATACAAGAGAATGAGTAAAAGTAGGTAAAGTTTAACTTACTCTCTGTCCTCAAATTAATATTCTGAAGGGATACCTATACCAGTAATGTTTAATTGTTTTGGTCCAGTTATGAAATCCAATGACATATACTGCTACAACACCCTAAGGAACCTAAAATTTCAAAACTGTTATTTCGAGGTAGTGACTCAACTTATTGGCTACTCCGGACTTGTAAAAATATGTGAAATAGTTAACTTTAGTTATTTAAATTTTTAATTAATTTATTATTAATTTAAATTGTTATTTAATCAATCAAAAACAAAGCAATTTATTCAGTCTACACAGTATATAGCAAAAACAAGTCAATTTAAGATATAGATATAGATATAAGGTAATGTCCAAAAAAAAATTGAAAAACAAAACTAAAAGTTAAAATGAAAATCTAAAAGCACAACCAGTGAAAACCACAACAACCCAAGATCAAAACCAAAAGTTAAAGGAGATATATATATATATATATTTTTTTTTAAGGCAGAAGTGGAAAAGAAGCCACACGTTGGGTCTAGCCAATTGAAACGAATGAAATGTGTGAATTGACAAAGTTCAGAAGAACTGAAAGAGAAGTGATGGAAAAGAAAAAAAAAATACTAAAAATAGGGCTAAGCTCAGAGGAACAAATTTAAATGGCCAAAGAGACACTAAATCTCAAGTGAGTGTTCGGGCTAGCTTCAATGCACTGGATTGTGGCTTTAAAGATTTAAACAGATAGCAAGGATACTGAGCTAATGAGACAAGAAACGAAATGAGACCTGGTAATATCAAACGTGATACAACTAAAGAAGGTCACTGGGAATAAATTTATAGAAAGAGAACAATAAGAAGAGAAAAGAAGGGCGCCAACTCAACGATAGTTGAGATTTTGAAGTAACAAATGAATCTGGAGGTAATACTCTGAAATACAAAAATACTAAATATTAATATTGTTTTGCTATGTTATATACTGGTTAGTAGAACTGAAATAAAACTCAAAATAGCAACAATAAATATATTTATAAACAAATGTATATAGGTATATGTGTATAAACAATTTACATATAATGCAAAGCCAAATAACAGTGGTAGTGGATGGTGTACAGATACAATAGGACCTAATAGCCCCTCAACAAATGAATAGTCACTACCACTGGCCAAATAAAATATGAAATATTAGTATACAACAAGAATAGTCCGTAGGGTAGCCAAAGTCTTAAAACAAAAAGGTAGTCATTTAAATTTAAATTAGTTCTACTAAAATGAGGTACTAATGACGATATTATAAAGATATCAACACCATAAATCTATTACAATTATATTATATTACATCCAAAAAATGAGTTGTTCCATACTCATTATATCATATTAAAAAAAAAACATTAAATTTATTTCCCTTTACCAATATTAAATTGTATCATATCCAATGCATTGTATTAAAAAAATATATTATAGCAAAAGTGAGTTTGGTCAGTACTCTTAAAATCCTATTTAAAAAAAAAACTAATAAAAAAAGGTAATATATTTTCCCTTTCCCAATAATATCAAAATTATATTTTATCAAAATGTAGTTACTTGGTCATATGCATATGAAAGTTAACAGTAAATAGAAAGTAATACGTAATACAAAAGGTCAAATAGTTAAACAACTTATCTTTACAGCACTATAAGTCCATAGGAAAAACTCCTCTTGGCACGGCTACATCAGTTTGTGGCTGTAAAGACGAATCCTGGTCACAAAAGCCACAACCAGTCACTGGTCTCTGGGTGACAGCAAAATCCACGGGTTTGCTAACTATGTATCTAAGGATTCTGTTACTAGTATCCTTGAGGGAATATTCTCAAGAGAATATCCTCAAGTAAAGTGAAATTAATATTTTCACGTGACGGAATATGGAGCTCGCAGCACGCCAAAAAAACTCTTCCTTTTTATATGGAACTCTTATAAATTAATACTTGTTATTTAAAATTAATTATTACTATTATTATTAATGAATTATATTCTTCCCCAAATTATCTTCCTTGCTCCAATTCCGTCACTTTGAATGTGAACAATTTCACCGGTTGGCGTGTCTGCGTTGACGAGTTCTGACCAAAACTGATAGTTCTCGTACCAACTCGACCAACCTTACTTTTTAAGCGACTACTACGCGTGTGGGGAAAAATGTCCATTTAAAAATCGATCGTAGGCGGGTAATAAAAATTTCTAAAGGGGTTAATCAGTAGCGTAAACGCTACAACATTTAGCCTAATACTTTAAAATTATTGAGTTCTGATCATTTCTTTTAAAACAGGATAGTAAAGGAACACCTAACCTCCGTAAATAATATCACTTCTATCTAGAGTAATCATAAATAAGATTATAATGCAAAAATCGAACAAAATGTTGAATATCTCTGTTGTAATTATTTTACAGCTAGTGAGTTTTACCTGTATATAGACGATATTACTTTCATAGACCGACCACTATAGAGTTTCAATAACTAGAGCCTAATCTTCAAAACATAGCATGAAATTTTAGTTTTGAGTTTTGGCAACAAATGTGAGATATTTGAATTATACTTAAGAAACGCTGAATTTAAACTTTCACATTACAAACAACCCAAAACATTTGAAACTGCTATTTTTTAATTACACTAGTACGTTTTTCAAAAGTATGTAACTTTTGCTACAAATTTCACCCACAAACGCCTTTTTGGAGGTATTTCCTGTTACCTGCGATCGTTTGTAATGTAAAAGTTTAAATTCTGCGCTTTTTAGTCATATTTCAAATATCTCAGTTTTGTTGCCACTCAAAATTTAAATTTCATATCAAAAATTTTGAAGACTGATATTTTAAAATTAAAATTTCACTACGATCGGTCAATAAAAGTGATAAATTTTATTAATCTCACGGCAATCGTAAAAAATGACAAAAATCGCGTAACTTTGATTTATTGATCACATTTATAGAAACTAACTTTATTTGCGGCAAAATACAAAAATTGCATATAAAAGTTGTACTTTTTACCCTTAAAACACATGTTGATTTTTGTTTATAGGACGCTCAAATTTTTACCATCGAGTTGATACAAATTTTATTTAATATTGATTTCACACGCCCAACTGATATTCAAAACCACCGGTCGCTTCAATCGTTGTTTCTGATATAACGGTTCATTCCACATAAAAAGTGCTAATAAACATTTTTATTTAAAATTATCTCAACTACATTTTTTATTTGAAATATTTTTTTTCTACTGCGTACAGATTCTTGGTAAATCAATTTATTTGCGTTTTTACCGCCCTACAGAATAGTTTTAGGGAGAAACACGGGAGTAAAAGTAGTAAACATTTTTAATTTTTTTATCAAAATGGGTCCCAAAACATAATATTCTCGGTAAAATTTAGCTTGTTCGTATAAGTTTTAGGAGTCAAATCTATGACGACTGGACTATTACTAATGAACTCTTCTTATCCACAGTTAATAATTCTTGATCGTTAAACCTTATGACAATACGACAACCAACGACTGGTAAACCATTATACCCTTTTAAGAAAAAGAGTTAAAAGAAACAACAATTTTTGTAGTTCATTTTTTCTATCTATAATTTTACATTTTTTGAAAGATACAAATTTGTGAGAAGCTTAAGGAGGTAAGGCATCATATTTATTTCAATTATTGTTACGGTTAATGAAGTTTAACGAATTTAATCAACGCTAATTGTTTTGAAGTTTCCATAATATCCCAAAACCTCATCGTTGTGTAAAGGTGTTGGACGAAGATTTTCATTCACTTTAAGTAATTCCAGCTTGTCAAATCTGTCACCATATTGTTGCAATTTCTGCTTCCATAACTCTAAAAAAATATTAATAATTATGTATTTGTCAATTGGGCAAATGTAATAATATACATTATACGAAAAAATATAAAGGATGGAAATAGAAGCACAAATAATAATTTGCATTAAAATATTTATATAAGATATATATATATATATATTATATATATATATAATATATTATATATATATATATATATATAATATATATATATATAAACAACAAAGTTTATTAGGGCTGCAGTCCGAAGTTTGGCCGAGATGTTACAAAAACACTCTTTTGACTTTTGGTCTAGCTTTCGGAATTGTTTAATTTCTTTTTCAAGACACTGTAATTAGAAAAATGTGTATATACTTACAATATATCACAAAATTTCAGTGCAACGTACTAGTCGTTGAGATTATTTGTATAAAGCTATGACACTTAACATTAATAACACACATATAAAATAGAATATATTATAAAATAATGGACAAAAAGGAATTAAACAATCCCGAAAGCTAGACCAAAAGTCAAAAGAGTGTTTCTGTAACATCTCGGCCAAACATCTGACTGCAGCCCTAATAAACTTTGTTGATTGTTTAAATCGACAGTCACTAATATCCAGTATTTATTGTATATATATATATATATATATATATATATATACATATCGGCGGCATAAATTTAATCACTTTAATAATTTTGGCAGACCTGTTTCATGTCAAATATTTTAACATATCATTTTAATTCGTCTGCTTTTGTGGCGATTAACTTTTTTTAAAATACTTAAGCTGTGTTTATACCACTAAAATCTGGTCACAGTTGATCAATTATCAATTCTTCTTTGACTTAAATTACTTGATGATACGTAAAGAGCTTAACCCGATGGGGTCCGTTTAGTTTATTTAACACATATGCACTAAAGCTAACATACAACATAGCACTATGCTGTTTTTACATTAGTTAACACTTTACAATAACTCAAATGCTTTTCTTCGTTTAAGTCTTTCTTTTTTCCCAGGTTTTATCTAGGATTTTAATGGCCCCGATGTTCACATGACTATGAAGCCGTTGTTCGTGACTAACTGTTATATTCTTGACAAGTTTATTTACATCTTCCATATCAATGTCCTTGTGAAGGTTTACATTTCTGATATACCAAGGAGAATCAACGATATTCCTTAATGGAGGAATACTTTATTTGGAGTCTCTGGATGATCTGGATATTACTTGAATTGGCACAGCCCCGTAGTTGGCAACCATACGCCCATACTGGTTTCGGTATTTGTTTGTATAGCAGTTGTTTGTTATGTATAGAGTTGTTTGTTATGTACGAACAATGCTGAATTTCTTCCTATCAGCCAATACATTTCTTGTTACGGATAACTAGTTCCTTTCTTTTCTCTTTAATATGGAGTTAAGCAAAGTATTTTGCGAAATATGCATGTGGTATTTGAACATTATTTATTCTATTTGATATGCTTTGGATTCTTCTTTTTGTAAAATTGATGTGAATTAGAGTCATTTACTGACCTACACACCTACGAGCAAGTGGCGGCTTATCTATTTTTGCTTCCAACAATATCTTCCATCAAGATTTTGACAGACACACAAGCCTAGAAGCGATTGCGGTAACCGCATGGTGTCTCATCAAGATAGTTATTTATTCTATATACATTTTTCCAAACTACAACTTATTCAGCTCAACGACCTCATAAAACAACTGCCAAACCCTTTCATCTTAGTTGGGGACTTTAACGCTCACAGCACAACATGAGGTTCCCAGGGCACCTTTGGGAGAGGTAAACATATCGAAGATAGCATAAGTAACTCTAACATCAACCTCTTGAATACAGGGAGTTCCACATATTTTTACATCAAGTCTGGAACCTCTTCTTGCATAGACATAAGTTTTTGCGATCCTGGAACCGCTCCTCTGCTTCAGTGAAAAACACTAGATAGCTTATATGATAGCAATCACTACCCCATTTTAATCTCAAGTCATATCCTCATATACGATGAGGAACTTATACAGACACAGCTGTATGACAAAATTCTCTACACAAATGCCTCTAAAGAAGAACAGGCCGTAGGTTGTGCCGTCAGTACCTCAAACACAATAGTAGCGTCACATCGGCTTTCTCTCAGATGCAGTATACATACAGCCGAACTGTATGGAATACTCAAGGCATTAGACTCGCCCATTGCTATGAGAAATCATTAGCAATATGCTCCGATTCTCTCTCCTCCATTGACTCAATCAGAAATATATACTCCATACATCCCATTGTAGAGTGCATCCAAAGTATCTGCCAACAGCAGTCAAAAAATGGTATTTCAGTAACTATCATCTGGATACCATCCCATGTTGGTATCAACGGAAATGAGAACGCTGATCATGCAGCAAAACTGGCCTGCTCCTTATGAAATATGGAAAACATACAACTTTACCAAGACCTAAAGGCCAGTATCAAAAAAAACGTACTAAGCACTTGGCAAACACACTGAAACGGCAAAATACAAAACTACGTACAATTCAACCAATTGTGACCTCCATCACCATGCCTCAAATGAGCTGAAAAGATAATATTATTATCAGAACTCTCAGAATAGATCACCCTCGTCTTATTCATGGATATCTGATGTCTTCTGAAAACCATCCTCGCTGCGAACATTGTAATGAGTCTTTAGGAGTCTAGCACATATTACTAGAATGTGTACACTGCAAACCTCAAAGAGACTACTACAACTTTCAAAATAATTTAAGTGATCTACAAACGGTTCTACAAACATGTACAGTGCCATAATTCGTTTCCTAAAAGACTGTCACTTTTACTACTTAACGTAATTATATTAAGATGTTGTTAGTGTATCCTAACTTGTATATAAGCAGATTGTATGTATGTAAACATAAACATATTTTAAATAAATTTGTACCAGTGTCAATGACCCATAGTTGCCGAGACACTTTAATTTAAAATAAAAAAAAAGAGTCATTTACTTTAATGCTTAATTGATGCGTAATTTTTCTGCTGCTTCTTCGCTCGTATTACCTACGGTTAGGATAGCAGTATCATCTGCAAAGGTAGTAGTATCATCATTTTTTTCCACGGAAATTAACGACGGAGACTGTCACTGGCAACGATGGGTATCCGCTGTATCGGCGTCGATCACCAGATGACAACGGTCGAACTGACACAACGAAAGTGAAAAGAATGGATTTCGTTGTCGACAACAGTTGGATTGTTCCATATTCGCCACTTATTTCTAAAACGTTCAAGACACATTGCAACGTTGAATACTGCAATTCAGTTAAGTCCATAAAATATATTTGCAAATATGTCACGAAAGGCAGTGATATGGCGGTTTTTGGATTGCAATCCTCAAATACCAACGATGAAATTTCACGCTATCAAGTTGGTCGTTATGTGAACTGTAATGAAGCGATTTGGCGTATCTTCGCATTTCCAATTCACGAACGTCATCCTACTGTTATACATTTGGCGGTGCATCTGGAGAATGGTCAACGAGTATATTTCACGGCTTCGAATGCTACGCAACGTGCTGAAACACCTCCAGCAACTACATTGACCAGTTTTTTTGCAATCTGCCAAAGCGATCAGTTTGCACGAACTTTGCTTTACTCGGAGATGCCACGTTATTATACTTGTAATGCTTCATCCAAGAATTTTCAAAGACGGAAGCAAGGTGATGCGGTTCCTGGGTATCCAGATGTGCGTTCTACTGATGCTCTTGGTCGTTTGTATACAGTTCATCCAAAGAATGATGAATGTTTCTATTTGCGGTTGTTGCTGGTAAATGTGCGTGGGCCAACTTCATTTGAGACACTACGAACTGTTAATGGTGTAATATTCCCAACATATCGTGCTGCATGTGAAGAATTGAACTTATTAGAAAACGATACCCATTGGGATACGACAATCGCTGAAGCCATTATCTCTGCATCTCCAAGTCAGATACGCACATTATTCGCTATCATAATTTCGACATGTTTTCCATCAAACCCATGTAACCTGTGGCACAAATACAAGGATAGTATGTCAGAAGATATTTTACATCAAAGTCGTGTCAGTTCCAGAAATCACGATATTGAGATGAATGAGGAGATACATAATCGTGCTTTACTCTTGATCGAAGATATGTGTTACCTCATGTGCGGTAATTTATTAATCAGGTTAGGAATGCCAGCGCCAAATCGTGAAATGAATGACGCATTTAATCGAGAATTGGAACGGGAACGTGAATATGATCACCAGGAATTAGATTTAGTAGTTCAAAGGAATGTACCCCTGTTGAATTACCAACAAAAGGAAGTTTATGATACTTTAATGAAGGCAATCGCTGATGAAAATGGTGGTTTATATTTCCTAGATGCCCCTGGTGGAACTGGCAAGACATTCCTTATGTCATTAGTTTTAGCAACTGTTCGGGCGAGATCCAACATAGCGGTTGCAGTTGCTTCTTCTGGAATAGCAGCCACATTGTTAGAAGGATGCCGTACGGCTCATTCAGCATTCAAATTACCGTTAAATCTTCAAACTATTGAAGAACCAACGTGTAATATTGCAAAACACTCAGCAATGGCCAAAGTTTTAGCGGCATCGAAAATCATCATCTGGGACGAATGCACAATGGCGCATAAACGTGCATTAGAAGCACTTAACCGAACATTAAAAGATTTACGCAATGACTCGAGATGTTTTGGAGGAGCAATGATTTTACTGTCTGGCGATTTCCGCCAAATACTGCCAGTAATTCCAAGATCTACGGCTGCCGATGAAATAAACGCTTGCCTCAAATCGTCAAATCTATGGCGCTATGTGAAGAAACTGCAGCTGACAACAAACATGAGAGTTACATTGCTTAATGATACATCTGCTGAAGATTTCTCGGAGCAATTGCTGACTATCGGTAATGGTCAAGTACCTGTCGATGAATCGAGCGGATTAATATCATTTCCAAATAATTTCTGTAATTTTGTCTCATCAAAAGACGAACTTATCAACAATGTATTTCCAAATATTATTTCTAACTACAAAAATAATGAATGGTTGAGTGAGCGAGCAATTTTAGCGGCTAAGAATAAAGATGTAGATGACCTGAACTACATAATTCAAAATAAGATCATTGGAACAATGCATTCATTCAAATCTATTGACTGCGTCACAAATGAAGATGAAGCCACCAACTATCCAATTGAATTTTTAAACTCTTTGGACGTGCCTGGCTTACCACCGCACAATTTACGCCTAAAGTTGGCTCCGTAGTAATCATGCTTCGAAACATAAACCAACCAAAACTGTGCAACGGTACGCGTTTGGTGGTTAGTAAATTGATGAACAATGTAATTTACGCTACGATAATGATAGGAAAATTCAAAGGTGAGGAAGTTCTCATTCCGAGGATCCCGATGATCCCAACCGATATGCCGTTTGAATTTAAAAGACTTCAATTTCCGATACGTCTTGCATTTGCCATGACCATCAACAAATCACAAGGCCAATCCTTAAAAGTTTGTGGTTTAAATCTAGAACATTCATGTTTTTCCCATGGTCAATTATACGTGGCATGTTCACGGGTCGGAAGACCATCTGCGTTGTTTGTTTTTGCGCCTGATAATAAAACAAAAAATGTCGTGTATCACAAGGTACTTAAGTGAAGAGCAACCTATGTACTAAAATACAGAAATAATAATGAATGATTAATGTAGTTATTTAATTTTTTTTAAATTTTTTCCAAAAAAAAACACAATCTGCTTATTTATTGCCATTAAGGCGGAACAAAGTTAATATTTATATATATATATATATATATATATATATATATATATATATATATATATATATATATATATAATATTTATATACATTACGAATATTAACAAATCTCATAAATTGGGAGTTTCGTAGTTAAAATATACATTACCTTGAAGTTCAGCTACTGTACGCTCTGTGCCGCCATATTCTTTTGGTAGTATTTCAGAAGATATATGATTCAATAGAGTTTCTACAGTATTATGGATTTGAATCTACAAAATGAAACATGATTAAATTTTTAATTTATCCGATAAATGATCTTTATTCGAGTGTGTTTTTATTTTTTATATCTTCCAGCATTCTAGAATTGGATTTTTGCTTAAACACTCTGCTTCTTAGTTATATTTTTCTGGATTATACTTTACTTTAAAGTTATATTGAGATGTAATGACAAGTCTCCCAATTCTTCATTAGTTCTAATTTTATGTTTAAATTTTAAAGGTTTTTATGACCTGAGTACCTATACTACTTTTTCAAGAAGCAAATGTTGCCAATATTTTTAGATTCTTGCACTGGCTTACTATATCCATTTTCATCTTTTTTTTTTCAATACAGTTCCTACTCCTTTGATGCTGGCATCTATATCTATATTAATCAGTAAATTGAAGTTAAAAATTCTAAAAATTTGTTCTGAACAAAGTAATGACTTTATTTCATCGAAACATTCTTGACATTTATTCGATCAGATGAATTACACATATTTTCTAATTTCCTGCATATTTCTTGCATATTTTGGTCGGATTGTCCTATTTTTATCTCCCTGGTTTCTTGTTCTTCTGACTCTGTTCTTTATTGATTTTTTTCTTTATTGATATTGTTGTTTATTGATTTGTTCTTTTCCCTTATCATTTATTTTATTACTTATTAATATCTCTAAATCTTCCCATGTAAATTCCATATTCTTCTTTGGTAGTGCTATTCATTAGTGCTTCTTTTATGATGTTTTCGAGCTTTAGGACTTTTTCCTCTATTTATTGTGGATGGTTAATTGTAGGAACATTTCCAATTCTATGTTTACTAGTCGTTTGAAGTTAGACCACTTATTTTTCTACCTTTTCCTTGTTGTTTTGTTATCTTCTTCCAATTTGCCTATTTCTAGGACTATAGGTTTATGGCCTTCTGATTCTTCGTTTAATATTCGGATGTCTATTTGTAGTCATAGGTTTTCAGCAACTGTTATATCGAAATGGGTTGGTAAAGCATTTCCGGGAAAGTAGGTTAGTTCGAGGGGTCCAATTGCCATGGTGTTTTCGTTGTTCACTAGATAATGATTTAATATTTTTCCATTTCTGTTCGTAGCTCGATCGATCCAGTTAGGGGATCTGACGTTAAGGTCTCCTATAATTATGGACTGTGCTTCTATGTTCATGGACGCATCCAGGTCGTCGTTGTTTAAAAAATCTGCTGGCCTTACATATGCTGAAGTAATCCGTATGTTACCTTGTTCCATTTTAATTTTTATTGTTGTTGTGTTTCATAGTGTTTAGTGTTGGCATCTGTTGATAGCAGTTCCTGCTGAATTTGCTCTGTAGTCGTTTCTGTAGATCTCGTATCCTGCAAACTTGATGTTAATGGTATAAGTTAGGTTAGTTTCTTGTAATACTACGGCATCCATTTAATATTTGTTTATTTGTTTGTCCAGAACGTTTGCATTTTTTCTTATGCCGCCTGAGTTCCAGCAGTCCATCTTCAGGTGTCCTCTAACTTTGTACCTGAGTTCAGTGCTATTTTTACCTTTTTTGATTTACTGTTTTTATAATTAGCTCTTATAGGATCATAGCCAGTCCTTGTTGTTGTTCTTTTGAGATTAGGTTGGTCTAGTCTGTTGTTCAGTTTTGTGTGGGTTTGGTGATTTGGGCGTACGATTGCCCATTGTTTCTTCATGTTTACATGTTGAGTTTGTTGTCTTCTGTTTTCTATTGTTGTTTGTATGGGTTTTCCCCAAGCAGGTACCCTTGGGCATCCCCAATAATTTGCCGGGTGCTGCCCTTGGCAGTTAGCACATTGTGCTTTTTGTTCTGCTGAAATTTAACAGATCTTGCTTTTGTGCTCTTCTCTGCACTTTACGCACTTAGCGTATTTGAAGCATGCATTTTGGTCGTGAGGAAGCCCTGGCAACTAAAATATTGAGTTAATAAGTAGGTCTTTCTTAGATCTTCCATTAGTACTCTCATGTACATTAGGTTGGTAATTTTCTTGGCCTTGGGTACGTTGGTTGTGTTTGTATGTATTTAAGTTCCGGATTTGAGGGAAGTCCTCTGATAACCATTTTGAGTTTGATGTCTTCTTCTAATGAGAAGGTAATCCAATATATTTTGGTTATTTTACTATAATCTTCCAAGATTTGGGTAATTTTTCTATAGTATTCAGGGAATTTTGTTTGAATGAGAGTTTCCCCTATATTTTTGGAGATTTTATTGCTTGTATATACTTACCCTTTTAATTTCAGCAATACTCAATATTGCTGCTGATTCGTTCACTGATTGTAGTTTTATAAATGGCGATTTTGTATTGGACTTATTTATGTGGGGTTCTTCTTTGTTTTCTTCGGTGATTAGGGTACTAGCTTTCTTGCTAGTTTCCATTGTTTCTTCCCTATCTTAATTTGGTAGGGAAAGAAAATCTTGTCTGTTTTGTACTTTGGATGTTGATGGCATACTGTTTTCTTTCTCGACCTTTTTTTGACAGGAAAGAGAAATATTCGTTAATTTTTGTTTTGAGTATATTTTCTGTATTTGCGTTTTTCGTATCAGTGTTTCTAAATTTTTTTTTGGATCCAGAGAACCGTTTTTTTCATTTATGTGTTTTTTGGTTGTCTTGTTTTGATTTAAAATTCAACGACTTTTTTATCTACAGTTTTGACTCCTTTTTCGTTCGATTTTATAATTATACTTTACAACTCATTGATTTTTCCATTCAATTCGTTGATTTGATTTCTGAGTTTTTTAACTTCTTCGTTCTTTCCCTTTACTTTCTTTTTTATTTTAGCAACTAAATGTTTATCTTCCTATCTCTCATTCGGCCTTTAAGGTTTTACTGCCTTCTTATTTTTATTTCTCTTTTTATTTTTCTCGTCTACTTTTGTTTTTTATTCCGTTTCCATATTTTTCTACATTTTATTTTTCGATCTGAAATCTAGAAAATGCTCTAGTACTAGCTAAATTTTGATATTTTATGCATTTGTAAATACCATGAATTTGGTTTTGCAGTTTTTCTACTTTTCTAGTCACGTCAGAAGGACGATATCGTCAGCATATCTTATGTTATTAAGTGGCTCACCGTTTATAAGTAGGGCTTTATTGACTTCGGCCAACGCTAATTCTTAAATGGCTCCACTCTACAAATTAAACAAAAATGGTGCTAAAAAACTTTAGCGTACCCCAGATCGAATATGAATATCCCCAGTCAGTTCATTTTTAACTTTTACTTTCACTTTTACTTTCATCACTTATGTGATGAATAAAGGCCATTATCCAGATTTAGCCATACGGCTCACACTTCCTCTAAGGGGAAAATTCACTCATCCCAGATACCTACGATATCAGAAGGATTGAGCTCTGGTGGGACTCTTTCCATGTTATCGAGTCCTAGGTGACTTAGTACGTCGGTGTATCTCCTAAAAATTTTGGCACGCATCTGGACGTCGTAAATAGCACAGCTTTCTGCATGACCTTATATAGATGTTCATTTAGACTCAGCTTTTTTATGTTTTCTAGGAGGTTCTTCGGAATGACTCCAGTGGTAGAAAGAATAATAGGTATCGTCAGGGTACTTTCCATTCTCCATTGTCTTCTTATTTGTATTTCCAGATCTCTGTACTTGGCGATCTTTTCGTTGTACTTAACACGCAGATTATTGTTGTTAGGTATCGCCACATCGATTAGAGTTGTTTGTCTTGTTAGTTTATTAACTAGCACGAGATCTGGTCTATTATGTGCTACAGTTTGGTCTGTGAGCACAGTGCGATCCCAGTATAGCTTGTAGTTGTCATCCTCAAGCATACTCTCAGGAACGTATTGATAATATGGGAGATGGTTTGTTTGTAGAAGTCCCAGTTTAAAAGCTATCTCTTGATAGAGGATCTTCCCTACTGAGTCATGCCGTTCCTTATATTCAGTTGAAGCTAATGCCTGGCAGCCTCCGGTAAGATGTTGGATAGTTTCTTGGGCTTGACATCCATATCGGCATTTGTCGTTTTGGACCTGAGGGTCTTTGACGATATATTTCAGGTAATTTTTGGTTGGTATAACCAGATCCTAAATGGCGAGTAATGAACCTTCTGTTTCAGGGAACATCTTTCCTAATGTCAGCCAATAGTTCGACGCTATATTGACGACATAGTCTTGACTGACTTCATTCGGATGTCGCCCGTGCAGAGGTTTACCCATCCAGGTGCGCATTTTTACGTTCTTAGTAAGATGGTTTATGCGCATTTCTTGTTCCCTCAGGTTGATCGATGTTGTGTCATCTACTGCGCAAATCGCGCGATGAAGAGTAGATGTCTCCGCCTGCACCTGAAAATAAGTTCTTAAATTAGTAATCTGTTTATCTAATTGCTCGCTTATATCAATAAGTCCTCGTCCTCCTAAATACCGCGGTAATGTCGTTCTTTCTATTGCACTTCTAGGATGGTGTTTTTGTGCCTTTGTGAGGTGTGTTCGTACTTTTCTCAAAAGAGTTTCTATATCCGTTTTAGTCCACTTAATAATCCCAAATGAGTAGCTAAGCGCGGGAAATGCGTAGGTGCTTAATGCATTAAACAAATTTTTACTATTAAGATGTGAGCGAAGTAGCTGTTTTACCCTTCGTATGAACTCTGATGTTAATTCGATTTTCATATGTTTATGGTCAATTTTCCGCGCTTGCTTTACTCCTAGATATTTATACATGTCATTTTCGCCCATAGTCTCGATGTTTTGACCATTTTGCATATTGAATCCCCAGGGCTGAACCTTTCCCTTGACTATATTTAGTACACGACATTTGTCTAATCCAAAGTGCATACTGATATCATTTGAAAAAGTTTCTACAGTTTTTAGCATTTGAACTAAGTGATTTCGAGTGGAAGCCATTAGTTTTAAATCATCCATATACAACAGATGATTAAGCTTCGACACTACAGTGTTGTTATTTTTAATGCTAAAACCTGAGTCAGTGGAGTTCAATAGCTGGGATAGTGGGTTCATCGCTAGACAGAACCACAAGGGACTCAGCGAGTCTCCTTGGAATAGGCCGCGGTTAATTGCGATATTTTCCGTTTCGATATTGTTGTCACCAGGTATTTGGAGGTGAATTTTAGTCTTCCAATCTGTCATTATATGTCTTAAGAAGGTCCCTATATTATGATCGACTTTATATATTCTTAATATATCTACCAGCCATTCATGCGGCACTGAGTCAAAGGCTTTCTTATAGTCAATAAAGGCAGTGAAGATTTTTTTGGTGTATGCCTGGTTAGAAATGACTGAGTCGATAATAAATTGTTCTTTGCAACCCATGGAGCCCTTAGCGCATCCTTTCTGTTGAGGTTCTATGATATTGTTTAGAGCGCAGTGTTGGTAAATACGCTGGGCTACACAGGATGTGACCAATTTATACAGAGTTGAAAGACACGTAATTGGGCGGTACTTGGCTGGATCTTGGGTATTATTTTGATCCTTTGGTATTAAATAAGTTGTTCCCTGAGTTAGGAATGATGGTATTTCCTGCGGATTAGAAAGAACACAATTAATTAATGTTGAAAGGCACTCATGAGCACTCCAGAACTTCTTAAGCCAGAAGTTTTGAACTCCGTCTGGTCCAGGAGATTTCCAGTTATAAAGCTATATATAAAGCTATATATAGTTATAAAGCTCTTTGATGATATTAGAGACTTCTTATATGGTGAAGAGTTCATAAACAGTTGTGCGGTAGTGTTGACAGCTGTGCGTCGTATCTTCTATCCATCCAGCATTGGTATTAAGAGCAGCTGGTTTGGAAAGTTGATTTCCCCAAAACTACTGAATGTCTTTTTGGCTTGGGTATGATTTATTTGCACTTTCGACAGTGGAATTAAGTTTCCGATAGAACGCCTTCTCGGCATGTTCAAAAAGCGCATTGTCACATTTCCGGCTGTTACTAACCTTGTACCTTCTTAGTCGTCCTGAATAAACGGATAGTTTTTGTTTTAATGTATCCAGGCACTGATGGGCTGTGATGTTTACTGGATCATATTGCGAGTGTCTTGCAGTGCTTAGCATTATTTGATCAGCTCTTTTAATGATTTTTCTACTTGTTGTTCCTCCTATATATTCTGTCATTTGACCAATGTGACCATTTGACCAATGATGAATAAAGGCCATTATCCCAGATTTAGCCATACGGCTCACACTCCCTCTAAGGGGAAAATTCACTCATCCCAGATACCTACGGTATCAAAAGGATTGAGCTCTGGTGGGACTCTTTCCGTGTTATCGAGCCCTAGGTGACTTGGTATGTCGGAGTATCTCCCAGAAATTTTCGTACACATCTGGAGGTCGCGAGGAGTACAGCTTTCTGCATGGCCTTATAAAGATGTTCTTTTAGACCCAGCTGTTTTATGTTCGCTAGGAGGTTTTTGGGAATAACACCAGTAGTAGATAGAACAATAGGTACTGTCTGGGTACTTTCCATTCTCCATTGTCTCTTGATTTGTATTTCCAGATCTCTATACTTGGCGATCTTTTCGTTGTATTTAACAAGCAAATTGTTAGTGTTAGGTATCGCCACATCAATAAGTGTTGTTTGCCTGGTAATTTTATTCACTAGTATGAGATCCGGTCTATTATGGGCCACTGGTTGGTCTGTGAGCACAGTGCGGTCCCAGTATAGCTTGTAGTTGTCATTTTCAAGCATTCTGTCAGGGACATATTGATAATAAGGAGGATGGTCGGTTTGGAGAAGTCCCAGTTTGTCAGCTAGTTCTTGGTGGATAATCTTTCCTACTGAGTCATGGCGTTCTTTATAATCAGTACCGACAAATGCCTGGCAGCCACCGGTAAGATGTTGGATGGTTTCTTGGGCTTGGCATCCATATCGGCATTTGTCGTTTTGGCTATTATTATTAATATTAATAAGGCCATTATTATTATTATTATCATTATTACTGTTTGATTTCAATATAGACTATACATAATTTTAATGTTTCTACTATTCATATTTTTATTTAACAAAATTTCTTTGAACCGACTATGCTGCACTCTGTCAAATGCCTTCTCAAAGTCAATGAAACAGGCAGACACTTTCTGATTCATATCTAGGCATATGTGCGAAAGAACATTCACAGCAAACAGTGCGTTCCCTGTTTCCAGACCTTTCCTAAATCCAATTTGTGTTTTACTTATGCCTTCGTCTAATTTCTTATATATTCTATTGTGGATTACTTTTAAAAACAGTTTCAAGACATGACTAATTAAGGCTATGGTGCGCCGTTAATTGCTCTCCGTTGCATTGGTTTTGTTGGAAGCAGTATAAATGTCAATTGAAGCCATTTTTTAAGAGCGTAGCCGCAAAATTTCGGGCCAACGCTTTTTAAATGCATTCATTTTTTTCGAATCCTGAGAAAACTAACAAATATTTTTGAAAAATTGAAAAAAAATTCATTCGGAAAAAATGAATGCATTTAAAAAGTATTGGCCCGGAATTTTGCGCCTACGCTCTTAAGTATTATACCTATTCGATATATAGTATTAAATAGATCCAAAAGAGGGTAACAGAGTCAGTTTCCAAAATTTTGAGTAATTCGATAGAAACTTCATCAAGCCCCGGAGATTTAGTAGTATCTCTTTAGTCATCCAGTCTTTATGTTTTCTTTTCTTTGATTTTAAGTTTTCATTTGCTGTTTTAATTTTAACTCGTTTTATATTCTTTCATTTCTGATCAATGTTATAGTTAATTTTATTCAGTCTTGGATGTTATGTAAACTTTTAGTAAGAGTTTTTACAGTTTGTTGCTTTGTTTGTAGTTCTCTAAACCTCTTAATAATAATTCTACTTTGTGTGGGTTTGTTAATTAGTTGAACAGATATTTGCGCCAGGGTAAGTTTTGGTAGAGAGGATAAAATTACGAAATTTTTTCTAATGAGGACAAAGTCAATTTGGTTTCGGATTAATCTATTCGGTGTATCTCCAGGAGATTTTTATATATACAATCTTCTTTTTGGTAGTTTAAAAAGTGTATTGGTTATTACAAATTCTTCTATCTGGCAGAATTATATTAAACGGTCACCACGTTGATTTCTATTTCCTAGATCACATTCACCTACATATCCGTTATTTGTTATTTATTTGCCTGAACTTGGCCACTGTACGTCACTTATACCTAAAACATCAATTTGGAAGTTTTCCATTTCAAGGAGTACGTTCGCTAATTTACCACTTGGATATAGACTTCTGATATTCCAGGTTGCTACTTTTAATGTCTTAAATGCACAGGGATTTCTCTTATTTACGACCTAGAGGCTCTGTGGTCTACAGCTATTGCTCACCTGCCGGATCTAAAATTAAGTGGTCCATAATTAGTAAGTTTGTTTACTCTGTTTGTCATTTGCCATTCATGACTTTACTAGGAGTACTCTATGAGTCTGTAATGCAATGGTTCTCCATTGTCTTCTGCATAATTACGCTGTTGACATACCTTTCGGTTCATCCGCCTTTAGGGCCAGTTTTCCAATCCCTGGACAAAATAGTGTTCAACCACTTACTAACTAATCTGCCCGAAGCCGTTGGTCAGTACGTAGGGTATTGCTTATACTGGTAATCACTCGGTGAATTACCTGTTGGTCCGCAGGAGGTATTTTTTCTTATGGTACTAATCACTAAATGAATGATTTTTAAGCATTATTCCAGTATATTTGTGGCTTATCGATCAAGACTTGAACCCACGGGTGAGTTATATGCTTGTAAAACGCCAAACACAGTTAGACACACATCATCATCATCATCATCATCATGCAACATCTCCTGTCCACTGCTGGACATAGGTCTTTCCCATTTTTCGCCACTGTTCAAGGTTGTGGGCGCCTTGTTGCCATTTCTTGGATATTCATTTAATGTGGTCACATTATATTGTGTGGCACATTCTTTGTGCCACACGCATTTTTAGTGCTGTTGTTTTTGTGAGGGTGAGAGTTTCTGCTTCGTATGTCATAATAGGAAGAACGCATTGGTCAAATGTCTTCCGTTTCATAGCTATCGGGATGTTGCTCTTAAAGATGTCTCTTTCGATTGTCTGGTTCGCTAGGAACCAAATTTGTCATAAATTCGGTCTTACTGATATTTATTTTTAGACCAAAAAAAATGTCTAAAATGTTAGACACACACTCTGTTCGAAACAAAAGATAATGAGTTTGGAGAACCTGTGGGGCAGAGATAATATCATCGTGAAGAATGGCCGCAAATATGTTTCGAGCTATAAGGAAGAAACATTATCATATAAAAAACTTACTCTGTCGGCCAATTTTTGCTTCAGTGTAGATTTTAAAACAGATACTAACATGTCCACACTTGCCGATGGATTAACTAAATGGATCTGCTTAATTCTGTTAGAAAATACCTTCTACAAATAAAAAAAACTAATTAGACAAAAAAAATGTTATGCACTATTTTTATTTGGAATAAACTATAATTTTAATTTAATTTATTTTATATTTAATTTTTGATTTCAACCTCGAAAGTCTAGTATTAGTTTTAGGCTCCAAAGTTCTGCACTTTTAGTCAGCAAATCTAAATTAATATATTATAGGCTTATAACGTAGTTTGTCGTCTTTCTATTTATCTTGTTCTCTTTCCCTCACTTAAGCGTCTCCTTATAATTCCTGATTTGAGCCTTCCTTTGACATTTTTCTACTTGCTTGTTGAAGTTTGTTATATTAGATTTTGTCTTTATTTTAAATACTTATTGTAAAGTTGTCTTTTCTGTGTTATATGATGAATATTTTGATCCCACCAATAAAGTTTTTAATGAACTGATGATTTCCGGCTCTAAATTCCCAAAAAGTGCATGAAAAGCATAAGATAAAATAGTTATTTTTGTACTAAGGGTATTAAATAGAAGTTTATGCCCAAAGGGCGACGATGTTACAAACCCGAGGGCCTCTGGCCCGAGGGTTTGTAAGTTGCCCGAGGGCATATACATCTATTAATATCCGCGGTGCATACAAACTTTTATGTCATACTAGTTCGTTACTGCATCTACAAATAAATGTTTTAGAAAATATGAAAATTCGATTTTATTTTGACAATATATTTAGTAGTAGACATTCTATCGTCCGTGTTATGTTGCTATACGCTACGGAAATGCTGTCAAACGTGTTAAACTAAAACCGTGAAAATGCAAGATATTTTTCAGATCCCTAACCAATTTTAAGAAAAGCGAAAATGCAACGCAAAAGTTGCTACCACATAAGTAGAGATATGCCTACGACAAGGAATATGAAAAATTGAATTTTTCACATTTATATAAAAAATAACATTTTTCATATATATAATATGAAAAATTACATGTTTCTAATAAGTCATCTTTTTGTTTGTATCTTAACGCCCGTGCGCGCCATAAAGTACACTTTATGCCCGCGCGGGCATAAAGTTATACTATTACGTAGTTAATAACTAAGCAATAAAAACCCAATAATAAACTAGTATGACATAAAGGAGATTTATAGTTATAAATAGTGATGGTCATAAGCAAAAACCAATGTTCTTATTCTTCTTCTTCTTCCTCTGTTTATATAGACATGAGTCTGTCTGTTTTTCAATGTACTTCCAGTAAGTTGTCATTCCATCATTATTGTGTTCTTTTTACTTATCGTCTTCCTATTGGGAAACCGTCTCTTGCCGTCTTTACTATTGCCTATTGCCTATTTGTTGTCATTCGGCTTATATGATCCTTCCACTCTACTCTTCTATTTCTTACCCAGTTTTTGATGTTTTATTACCGTTCTTTTAGCGTTTTAAAATCAATTTTTAGCATTTAATAATAAAAACGCTAATAGAAAAGTGTACAGAGCATATCAAGCCTATCTTTCTTATATTCGTAGATTATGAAAAGGCGTTCAATACTATAAATCATCATAAAATGCTTTGAGCATTGGCTGACTGCCGCATTTACTACCGATATATCGCCTTGATTAAAAGTATTTACTAAGTTTTGCTATTCACTTGATCTTCCACTTCGTTTTCGAGCCTTTCGTAACTAGATAATGTGATGCCTAGATATGTAAACTCCATCACTTGTTCTATTATCTGACCTTCTAGCTCCAATTTACATCTTAGTAAATTTGCTGTTGTAACCATGCATTTTGTCTTTGCTGGGTAAATTAACATGTTAAATTTTCTGGCGATTATAATAAATTTGTGCAGCGAACGTTGTATATCATCTTCATTTTGAGAAAGTAGTAGCAGATTATTTTAAGTTGTTTTTCTCCCATTTGGTATCATTTTTGTTCTTACATTTTTTATTATTTCATCTATAATCAGGTTGAACAATAGAGGACCCAGGGAATCTCCCTGTATTATCCCATTGCCAGCTTCAATAGGGTCGGTTAGTTCTTCTTCTACTTTTACTTTTATTGTGTTGTTTGGTAGATATTTTCGATCGTTTTGATTATTCCTAGAGGTATCTCCCTTGCATACAATAAGTGGATAACATCTTTTAATTTGACCGCATTTATAATGCCTTTGTAAGGTCCACGAAATATAGATATGTTTCGTGGACCTTATGTTTCTTATATAATTCCATTCCATTTCACATTATTTGTTATCACTTTGGCTGTTAATTTTACTGTTGTTTAGTAAATTAATTCCTCTATAATTTTCCGGATCCGATTTGTCTCCCGTTTTAAAAAAAAGTATTAGGATGCAGGATGCTTGATCTCCATTCTTGAGGAATTCTGTTTAAAACGTTATTAACATTGTTAAAACAGAAAACTTACAAATAGAAAAGAAAACGATTTGACTACGATGATCTAACGTACATCAGATATCTAGTGTTTAGATACCTAGTTAGTGGTGCTGGTGTTCCAAACATTAGTTTTGAACATTCCGCTAGTGGTGTAATATACTCTCTGGAAATTATTTGTGTATCCAATACCATGTCCATTGTTTCTTCTTCATTGAACTGATTCAAAATATTAAAGGCTATTTATTGATCGGTGGACTTAGAAATATAGTCGTGTGTCAAAAGTTGACCCTAAGAATTATGTACTTTTTTTCTTTTTTTATCTCCCGTAATTTAATATATTATACTCTTAAAATGTAAGTTAGATTTTTCCATCTTTTTTTGGCTTTTGTTTGATTTTTATATATCTGCTTAATTTGTAGAAATTAATAGATTTTATTGTTTTAATAATAAAATAATAACATAAAATAAACCAATGTAAAGCATTTTCAATGAGTCACGTTATAGCTCATAGACCTTTTCTGTTTATATTCAGTTTCAATTTTATTTTCTTTTTTTTACGCGAGTTGCAGATATGTGTTCGATATTCTTTTTAGTGTTGAGAGTTAAAAAGTAGTGGTAAGGAAGAGACATTAAATTTGTTTTAATAAATCTCGAAAGTTTCTCTAGTTTGGCTTAATAATAGAAAGAATAAAACGCTAATGGTCATATAGAAAAATCAAGTAAAATAAATAAATATTTACCTCTAAAACTAAAACCGCTTTCTTGATATGTTGAGGAGTCACCTTGACCATGTGACCTAGAGAAACATCTTTGAGATCTACCAATAGTACGTCACCCAGTATTAGTTCTTCATGCAATCTGATTTCATTAATGTTGATCTGATGAGCGAAAAAATTGTAGACATCGAAATATTTTGGATTTCCGCTTATCTTGGAAATGTTGACTCTGAACAAATCTTTAGTTAATTTTGGCAAAGGAATATACTGCCTAAAAAGATTTTTTTCCAATTATTATATAATAGTATTCATTGTTCGGTGGAAATATGTTTAATCAAAAATTTAAATTATAATAACACGTATATATAAAAATTTTTGATTATTTTTTTTAAGCGTTGGTACTGGGTACAAAATAAATATTACTACTATTATGCAGTGGCATTCTTTCCTTTTAACATACACATTTTAGACCGACTTTCCTTAATGTCTCCACCAGATCACGTTCTTCATATATCATGGCCACCTCGTTACAACTTGTTTTACGACGTACTCTTTGTTCATGAACGGCTTCTTACACCTATTTTAAATTAAAATAAAATTTTAAAAAACTGTTCTTTCTAGTCTACGTAGCTAATTCTTACTTCACCATACCTTACTCAATAACATCCAACGTAACAGTTTCATTTCAGCTATCTTCATCTTCTTTTCCTGGATCTTCTTTATAGGCCACACTTCACCGCCGTATACCAACGCAGGTCTCATCTTTCTGTTGTATATCTTTCCTTTGCCCTTCCTTGCTTTTTCAATCATAAAGTACCCCACTCATTCGCTTCCAGTTAAACTAACCTGACTATATACTGTGGACAATTTTTCCATCTAGTGTCAAATTTTCCGTTATGTAGGGATTTAAATTCCCTTACTCGTCCTAGCTTTTCTCCAACCAATTCTATGTCCCCAAAGCATTAATTTTATTTCTAGCCACACACTCTGTTTTTGACCTGCTAACCTTAAATCCTTCCTCTTCAATAGCCGTTCTCCAGCCATTCAACTTTTTTCCTTTCTTCTACTAACAGATATCATCAGCAAAAAGCATTGACCAAGAAAACCTCTCCCTTACTTTCTGTGTCAGTACATCCATAATAAGATTAAATAGGTAAGGACTCAGTAAAGAGCCTTGATGCAAACAAACCGTCACTGGAAAACTCTCAGTCAATCCGACAGCAGTCCTTACTTTGGTGTACGCTTCCTTATGCACATTCCTCACGAGCCTTACGTACTTCTCAAGAACTCATTTCTCCATGTTACATCTCCATAGCTCTTGTCAAAGAACTGTGTCGTACGCCTTCTTGATATCTATAAATATTAAATGTAGCTCTCGTTTTTTCTCAGTGTATTTCTCTATCAATTGGCTCAATGCAAACAAGTCATTCTTTATCGTTCTTCCTGGCATAAACCCAAATTTGTTTTCTCCTATCGATGTCTCTCTCCTTAACCTTCGCTCAACAGGTCTCTCCCAAATTTTCATTTTGTGATACATTAACTTATATCCTACTCATCATTTGTCACAAAATATTAACCCCTTCCTCTCCTAGATATTTCCAAACCTACAAAGGTATGCAATTAGGTCCTACTGCCTTACCGTTCATTGTCCTATTTAACGCCTCGACAACTTCATCTCTCGCTATCCCTGGTATTACATTTTCATTTGGGATCCCGCAATCTTCTATCTCTCCTCTGGTGTTCTTCATTTAGCAAATAACTTAAGTACTCATACCATCTTTGGTTTATTTCTACATTTCCACAACTAAATCATCATTATTTTATTTCTAAAACTGTGCAACCTACATAGATCTAGAGCTACATTAGAATTCGTTGATACACAAAGATGTTTATACAGCAATCAGTGAAAGTAAATCAGAAGTAAATCGATACAAAAAGCATAAAAAACCTGAAAATAAAGTAAAATTTAAAATGCTAAAAACAAAGGCATAGCTAACTGTCAAAACTGTAAACTGCTAAACAAAAATTTCATGGAATAGGTACGTATCGAAAATTAATAGCAATGTCCCTCTTTCTGATGTCTGGAACAAAGTTAGAAAAATATCTGGTTTACATACTTTATACAATTTTACAGGTTTAAAAGAAAATAATAATTTCATAACATCGAGCAGTGATATTGCAAAGATTTTTGGGAGAATCTATCAGGATCACTCATCGAATTAACAGTATACCGCCAATTTTTTTGAAGTAAAATAATTCGCCGAATAAAACCTCATTTATCCATTTTATGTTCAAATATTTCCTTAAACCATCCTATCTCTTTTCAAGACATAAACTCATCTCTTCTTAACTAACAGGATTTTAGTCCTGGGCCTGATGATATTTCTTTAGCATTTCTAAAACATCTCCCTGTTTTAGCTATAACATATCTCTTAACCATATTTAACAAAATCTGGCTTTACAACTAATGACCAGCTATTTGGTCAAAGGCAATAGTAATTCCTCTTCTCAAAACTGATGAACCTTAATATGACCCAGAATCATACTGGCCCATACTTCTGACATCAGCAGCATACAAGTTACTGGACAATATTGTTAAGTTCATGCTCTTATGGGTTTTAGAAAAACCCGATTTCTTATTCCACGAGCAGAATGGCTCTACAAAAGGTCGGTCAACCATAGACAACACTTTGAAAAGTGAGATACCTACATGAAGATCTTGCTACAAACCAAAAATGTGTTGCATTTTTTAATTTAAAACGAGTTGTAACGTTATAAACGTCACATGTTTATTCTTCTTTAAATAATTATTTTATTTCAACTTTTCATTTTATTCATCTATTAACTTTATCTTTCATTTTACTATTTTTATTTTAAAAATAGTTGGCGATTCATTCTACTTTCTTTGTACTTTCTATTTACTAAATATTATGTCATCTAAATTCTTATTTTTATTTTCACTAAATAATATAATTTCTTTATTCAGACCCTATTATATTCTATGAGATAATAGAACATTATTTCTATGCCTCACTTCAATAGGCAGTATATCTGTTAGTTGACAACTCTGTTCTGTCGTCACTTTCATTCTGAAAAAAGGGAAATATCCTTTATCTATAAAGGCATTGCTTCCATTCAAAATTCATTTTATTTGTTAAAACTTCTCTTGTCATTCTACAGCACATGGTCGACCCTACAATATTAACTGCAGCTGCAATTAAGAACTCAGCGGCCACCTGAAAATAGAAACATAAACTATCTAGATTCAGCTACATCAGCACCTAATCACTACATTCGACAGTCCTGTCTAACTGCTTGAAGGCAACATCAGAAGCACAGTTGGCCCCAAAGAAAGCTGTGAGTTTTATTGAATTTTGTGAAAACCTAGACCTTGAAGATACACATTGGCTCCCAAGTTTTGGAAGTAGTTTCTAATGGGTCGCTCAATGGTTACAGTACATTTAATAAAGCTTGGAAGTATATGTGTGGACTATCCTATTATATGGTTGTAAGACATGGACATTAAAAACCACAATTCTTAACAAATTATAATCATTTGAATTGTGGTGCTATCAACGGATCCTAAAAATATGATGGGTTTCGCACAATTCCAATTAAGACATTCTTAAAATGATGAACTCAGAACGCATGCTCACAAATATCATAATGAGGAAAAACAGAACACTTCGGCCATATAATTAGAGGACCCAAATACCATCCTTTTTTGACCTATAATACAAATAAAAGTGGAGGAAAAGAGATAAATTGTTCGAAAAAAACTTTCATGGCTAATATTAGACAATGGTGTGGTGCCACAGTAAAAAAAATATTTTGCGCAGCAGCCGATAGAGAAAGATTTCAGGTAATTGTAAATATGATGACGGCCAACGTCTGAATACGGATACAGCACCTAAAAAGATGTTGGAAGTACAACATATTGCGACAACTTGATAACTGGAGTATTCAAGGTCACTGCCTTGTCTTTATCCAAAACTTTTTAAACAACAGATCTTTTCAAAGGAAAATAAATAATATTTTTTTAAATATTTATAGTTTGAAAAATGGTACACGCCAAGGATCTATACTCAGTATATTTCTTGTTGATGTGCCTATTCGTTACGAATATTGGCGATCATCATGGCAATCTTTATCTTATCTGCAGCAGCACGGAAAAGCTGCATAGATGTTGTATTGGACCAGATTCTGAGGTTCTTTAATCAAGATGTTCTTCTTCTTCCTGGACCTCGTTTTCCAAATATTTTTACTTGCAGGATGGCTTGAAGGAGAGCTTATCTGGATTCATTACTCAGTCCATAGTAACAATAAATGATATAATCACACACATTCAAGCACTCCTTACAAGCCTGTTTACACGCTGACGACCTAGTGGTATCTATTAAAAGCAAAAATATCTCCTTACTGTCCGTAATTCTTCACAACTTTTAGATTCTCTCGAAACGGGAAACTCGAAAATTGGTCCCACCTTACAGGTTTTCAATTTTCAATACAAAAATCAGTAGAAGTCGTATTATCTTCAAGCTTCTTGTCACAACTTCCAACCCTGGAGGTTTAGAGATCATTATAAATTCTTGGGTTTAGTCTTTGATTCAACAATCACATCTCATAACTCAACCTTTCCTGTAATAAAATATTAAACGTATCAATATCTCTCTGTAACAAAAACTGGGGCTCGGCAGTAGCGCTCAGCTTCGCAGCTATAGTAATGTTTCTGCTTATAGGCTTAGTAGAGTTTTAAGTGCTCTTGGAATGTCAGCTGTATAAATACTGTAAAATAGGGGTGACTGTACTGCCCATGTGGTGATCTAGCCTCCGGTGCTAATCCTGTTCAGACCCTAAACCTACGGTCTCCCTTGAGAGAGAGAGAGAGAGAGAGAGAGAGAGAGAGGGAGAGAGAGAGAGAGAGAGAGAGAGCGAAACAAAGTAAGTCCTCCTCATAACCTTTGCTTTTTCGTTTACGGAATAAACTCTTCTCATAGATTTTTGTATTAACATGTGAGGACACTGTTTGTGTTACATATTAATGCAAAGTTGAGATCCAAATGAATGATAGAGGTGTTTGTGAAATCTTGCATACTTCATTGATGCCAACTTACACTAACTTTGGCAACACCCTGATATGTTAATGTATTTGAAATTACCGCTGTTATACATTTATTGAAATGTTTCTTCCGACTTAACTAAAGTGTTCGCATGATGCCTCGTTGGTAATACTGAATTTAAATTAAATAATAGCCTTTCTTTAGTAGATGA